ATTAATATTTAATTTTTAAATGAGTTTTACTAAATTATCAAAATATTATTATAAATAATATATAACATATAAACAAGCAGATAGTTAATGAGCAAGAAAAAAAATGTTGCTTGATAGTTATCTATAATTTATAATAACATTCTAGTAAATCAAACTCAAGCATATTATTGTTATTATTTTATTAATATCAGGAAAAATTATGTATTAAAATTCCTTTTTCTTGGATTAATATAAATTTCATATTTTCTCATTAGAATGAAACAAGTACAAGAATCACTTGAAAAAGATCCAAAAACTGAAAATAAGTTTGGAACTAAAGAGAAAGAGGCAAAAAAAAGAAAAGTAATTCTCTAAATAATGTAAATAATCAATTAAAAGTTKTAATCTAATGATTATTATTTTTTAGTGGGATGAAAGAGAACCAACTAAAACTCATAATGAAAAATCAAATGGAAACTTTAAAGTACCTTATGCTAAAAATGACAATAAACAAGAATTTGAATCTTCTCCTGTCAAAAAAYTTAAAACAAGTAAGTATAAATTAATAGCTWATTAAGAGAGAATGTTGTGATAAATATTTGGTATTACTACTTAGGTACTTGGTTATTTTGTACCTTTTTTTATTATTTTGGTTAACATTTTATTCATATATTTAAAACATATACATATTTCACTATCTAATAATAAGTATTTAGGAGAGCTTTGTATAGTAAACATTTTTTGATCTTYATCTGTCACATAAGTTWTATACTTTTTTTGATTTGAATAAAGCACTAGYTAATAAATCTATAAATTATAACCATACATATTATACATTAATTTCTTGATATAATGTTTATAAAGTATATTTACGCCTAAAACAAAAATTGTATTTTATGGTTATATTAATTGTCAATATATCTATTTTTCAAGAAACACAAAGATTGACATTGATTGCAACTAATATTCTATAATTATATTGAACAAAAAAGTTTTAATTAAACTTATTCTTATTGAAATAAGTAAATCATTGTTTTCTATGAGTTTAATTTTCAAAAAATTTGTAAATCAAAAAATGAAATTAAGTGGAGGAATGCAGTTATAATATTAAAAACAATTTTGTT